ATCGCATAATTTAACTAATTTAAGCAACACCTCGTTTTCCCGGCGGGAAAACACTGCAGGCAACAAACCTTGTGCGGAGGCTGTCCAAGTTTCATCCAGTGGCGCATATAACGGCCAAAGTTGTATCCCATAAATGGTCGCATGGCCATTGGGTCGTGCATGATTTGCTTACCTGAACAAATTCATATCAGTCAGCCTCCTTTGCTAGACCACCAGGGCTGTATTATCTGTCGAACTGTTGTGGTACCTGCATGTTCGGCTGCCGCAGTGGCCTCAGATTTCACACAGGCGCCAACAAAAATGCCGTGAACCCAGTTGCGAGATTCAAACACAAGTGGAACGCCCTCAGGTCTGGAAATAAACACAGTTTTCATAGTCCAAGCTTACGTGACATCAGAACAATGGTTCTAAGCGCAGCACATACCTTCGACCTCCGAAAATGATAGCATCAACGGGCACGCCCTCGGGTTTCTCCCAGTCCGGATGGATGATCGGGCATTGCCCCGCAGGTGCAGTGAATCGTGAGTTCGGGTGCGCCGCTTTGCTCGGATCTCCAAGATGCCACGGCTTACCAAGCCAGTCAATCATATCAACTTTCTGAAAATCACAAGATGAAAAGATTGACAAAACTATCTCTGCAACATCCATCACTTCATTCCAATCATATAAGTGCGAGAAATTAGTGGATGTTCTACTCCTGTGACCCCAAAACTTGCCGGATTTTTGAGTTCCTTCTCAAGTCCTTCCCAGAAATATTCGCCATCGGCTGTCTCGGCTACATTTGTGAAAACGGAGTTTTTCTGGAAGCTCGCCATTGCCATCGGGTTCGTTTTGTGTGATGTTCCGGGGGCAACGCCGAAAAATCCAGCTTCCGGGTTGATTGCATACAGACGCCCGTCAGCACCGAATTTCATCCACGCGATATCATCACCTGTAGCAACATAATGAATGAAATAAAATATTCTTCCAAATTTCACAATTACTTGTTGCCATTTTGTAAGCCTTTTAATAGGAGCTCACCGACAACGCGCACTTTCCATCCAGGTATGGCCGGCTCAAGCATTGCCAAATTCGTTTTACCGCACGCCGATGGGAATGCGGCACAGACGAAACGCTCCTTTCCCTGTGGGCTTGTGATACCCATAATCTGAAATCACCGCCGAACATGTAGG